GCAGCTTCTAGAACTGCATGTATCAGAGCAGAGTCACTGCACTGCCCTTCCCTGGCCGAGTGCAGCAACATCCCATCCAGCTTTTCTGCAGGAAGTGGTGAATGGTCTGGCAGAGAGATAATGCGAGTGCTCCATTTTTTGACAGGTGTTCCAGAGGAACCAGACCAGAATCTGTCCAGTCCAGAGGAAGTGTTCCACTCAGGGCACTCACGGAACTCCAGTTATGCCAGCCAGCAGTCCAAAATCTCTGGTAATTGTTGACTTGCTGAACTTTGGCAACTGTGACCAGGAAAGTGCAGGTCTTCAGATCTCCAAATCTGTTTTCCTGGGGTACCTTCCTCTAAGAGTAGGTCAGAGGAGTGGCTGTGACTCAGAGCTGCTCCTGAGCCTTCTATCTGAACTTCCAGTTGTGTGATGACTGCAGATCCATGTAATCCTCCTTTGTGGATTGAGGGCCTTCGCCTCTTCAGTGAAGCTTTCCTGCTTGACCTGGAGACTTAGCTATTTGCACTGTGTTGCTATGGGCTAGTAGGTTTGGTTGGTAATGAGTCTCTATCCACAGGTTATAGCACGGAGCACTCTCGCTCCTCCAGTATGTCTGATTTGACCCACCGCCGGAATACGTCCACCAGCAGCAGTGCCTCGGGGGGACTCAGTTTGACAGTGGAGTGTCCTGAGGGAGAGCGGGACCACAAATTAGAGAAACCACCTCGCCCCCCAAGACCAGCCCTCCTGTTGGATAGGTCATCCCGGTAAGTAACAGTACAAGGATGATGTCTCTCTGGATGGGGGAAGCCTAGGATCTTTTGCTCTTCCTTTACATTTATGGTCTCAAATTTACTGTTGCTATATCGTGAAAGGAAGAGGCTACAGCTAAAGGACACAGCGCTAGCAGCCTGAACTGAGATACTGAATCTGTTTTGTTTTGTTTTGTTCGTTTGTTTTTCCCTCCCAGAAGGAAAAAGGATTCGGTGGAGAGTCACCCAACCTGGGTGGATGATACTAGAATTGATGCTGATGACATAGTGGAGAAAATTATGCAGAGTCAGGATTTCACGGATGTCAGCAACACTGAAGGTGAGATTGGTACAAGGCACAGAGGGGAGACTTGCTGCTTCTCTTCCCACCTTAGCAATATTCATCACCCTCTTTAATTCAAACTCTGGCATCACCCGATGTTGCCTCCAGTGTTCCCTGTACACTGGGGAAGCCCAGCGTCACTGATTAATCAGCCCCACCCAGTCTAACGGGCTCATTGAAGGGAGCTGACTGACTGGGCAGGGCTGATTAATCACCTGTGAAACTGCGGCCACCATGCAGAGGGAACACTGGTCGCCCCCCACACCCTTGTAACTACTTTTGACTGAAATCAGAGTGTACTTGCTACCGTTACAGGTATCTCCAACTGAGAGGCAAACACTCCTGCTCTTGTCCATGTTCACTTTTGACAGCATTTTGTGTGTTGTCAATATCACTGCTCAATTGCATCACCCTCCTGCCTGGCTCTGATGGTAGCTCCTGGGCATGCTTTTTCCCATGCTATGCAAGAGGGTATTTGCCCATAAACAGCAGCTGCAAAGCTGAAGAGAAAGTGGTGGGAGAGGTGTGCATGTGTGTGTGCATGTGTGTGTGCATGTGTGTGTGCGCCCACAGAGGAAGAAGGATGGGTCTAAACCAGGGGCATGGAACCTTTTTAAGTTGGGGGCCACTGACCCACAGAAAAATCAGTTGGGGGCCACACACAAGTGAGAAGCAAAAAAAAAAAACCTCCACCTTGCTTTCGTAGCTCCCAAATGAGGACCAAAAATGAGGGGTTCAGTGTGTGGGAGGGGTCTGCTAGGAAGCAGGCTTGGGGCATGGGGTCTGAGCAGGAGGCTGCAGGAGTGGGTTGGGGGTTTGTGGGTCTAGGAGGGCGCAGGAGCAAGTTGAGGTGAAAGAGCTGGGCAGGAGGTAGGGTGCAGGAGCAAAGTGGGGATGGGGTGCTGCAGGAATGGATGGGGTGGGGGGGCATGGGTGGGAGGAAGTGTGCCGGAGTGGGATGGGGGGGTCTGGGCAACAGCAGGGTGGGATGCAGGGTGTGGGTGGGAGATAGGAAGCAGGAGCGAGCTGTGAATGGGGAGTCTGGGCAGGAGGGGGCATTTACCTGGTGCAGTTCCCCAAGGAGACACATGTCTCTGTTGCGCCACTTCTCCCAGGCACTGCCCCCTGCTGCCTGTATTGGCCATGATCATGGCCAGTTAGAGCAGTGGGGGGGAAAAACCTCCAGGCAGTGCTCTGCTGTGCTACTGTTTCCCCTGCTCAATAGGGAGAGGAAAACAGCAGTACACGGATTCACTTCCTCCCCCTGCCAGGCAGAGTCCATGGGTCAGATCCAGCCCCAGGCTTGCCTGACTCTGGCCAGTGAGACTCAGGGTCCTGTCCCCAACTCCAGTTCCACAGGAGGGACATGGGGGACCACAGTGCTGGATTTCTGGGCCTTAGGTTCCCCAGCCTGGTCTAAACATAGTGGCACATGGCCTGACCAAAAGACTCTTATGAATACTCTAGGGATGTAGGGGGAGAAGCTGTGTCGCTCTTTTTAAAGGAATTGAAACCAATATTTTTTTTAAATTGACCAGTTTATGGAAAATTTCAAATAGTCCTCTTAAAAAAAACAAGTATTTAAACTAATTTTCTTATCTGTTATACAAACTACAGCTTAGATTTACTAGAACTCTAAACTTTAATCTAATTTGCTGTTCATTACTCACACACACCATTGTTTGCCTTTGTCAACTTGGATGATTAAAAACAGGTTATCATGCTTCATTAATGAATTTGCACTCCACTCTCTGGGGGGGAAACTAGACAGAACAGAATAGGGGTCCTTCACTGTGGTATAATGATGAGACTGCAAATCCTGCAGAGGAATGTTTGTCTCTTGAGTATTTAATGATACTAAGGATTCCTTAATTCATGACATGGTTTAGAAGTTTTTTAAAACTGGCCATCAAAACTAAAACCATATTTTATTAAAACGTTGTTTTTAAAAGCTTACTCTTGCGAAGTCTGATTTGCCCAAATAGCCTTTCCTAAAGCAAGGAGGCGAGGGAGTTCCAGGAAGCTTCACAACCATCAGAGGAAGAGTTAAAAACACCCGTGCTGACAGAAATGGAATAAAATAGCTCTGTTAGCTTGCTGGGGAGTGTGTAACATGGCCCATAGGAGACATCTGGGGATTTCACTGTCTTTTCTTCCTCTCCCCCCTGTCTGCAGACAGTAACCTGAGGCTGTTTGTGAGCAGAGATGGCACAACTACACTGAGCGGGATTCAGCTGGGCAACAGGTATGAAGAGACCAGTAGCGAAGAGACTTTTGAAGATCATGTGATACATGATGATTTGGTTCCCACATTAATACTCCTGGGATCCCTTTAGTCACAGGATGCAGCTGTGCTTGTGTGTATTCAGAGTTCAGCAGAAGCTTGGCGGGGTATTTGATCTTGACTGCTTAGAAAAGGGGAGAGGGAAGGTGTGTCAAAGTGTACATCAGGGGGCGGGGGAATGATCTATTTTTCTCTGCTTTCAAAGCCTGTTCAAGGCTGGCAAACTTTGTTGCCTCCTGCAGGATTATAGCAAAACCACAAAGCCTAATTAATTCTCCATTCTACGCAGCATGCTTTCCTCTTCCTCCTGGAGGAGAGTTGCTATTAAATACAGTCTTTCCATACTGCTTTGCACCTTTCATCACAAATTCAAAACCTTTTACATTCACTAAACCGTACAAGCACCAGGATCAGTGGAGTTTGGGGAGAAGTGTCTAATGCAAAATTACACCAAGTCGATAGCAAAGCCATGGCTAGAGCCCTGGAGTGCTAACCTCTACCCTGCTCTAATAGACAGCTTCCCCTCTGGAGCCTTTCCAGGTGTCCTCTGCTTAGCCACTTTCATCTCTCGCAGGAAGGAAAGGTGTGTTACAGCCGGTTCTCTGAACAGCCTTGGGATATTGATTGCCATTTGCCTGCCTGGCTTTTGTTATGCAGGCTGGGTTAGCTATTTTCAATATTTGTATTTGTTTGGAAAAAAATCCTGAACTCTGAGCTCTACATGGAGGGTTCTGTGTTAATCTAAAAGTGTAAATACAAGACCTTGTTCTTCTCCTTCCTTCTGCAGGGCCTCATCTGGAGTTTATGAGCCAGTGGTGATTGAAACCCGTTAAATGTGAAGAACAGGGTAGACCTGCTGGCAACAGACTCCTTCCCCCGTCCTCTGCCACATGGATGCCAATCTTTACCTCTCTTCATGCAACATTCCAGAAGGGATTTCTCCAGACCCCTCCCCTTACATTTGCACTGCAGCACTCCTCTGAGACCATACCACTCCAGAACCTGCACTTTTCCTGACTTGGCATTAACTCCCCATTCATCACAATGCTTCCAAACCCCCCGAATTCCCTGCAGATCTAAGGGTCTGTCAGGAAGCCGCTTCTTTGCTGGAGGATGTTCCTCCCTTCCCCAGTCCCTCATTCCATGCATTGCTTCCTTACTAGGGACTTCTCCACTCCAAATCATTGGGTTGTACCACTGTGAACTTTTCAAACCACTGAAGGGGGTAACCAGAACTGACAAACCAGGAGAGCAGCTTGTGGTTGAAATGACGAGCTGGCCGCTTGCAAGATACTTGATTACGCTGATTCTACATTATGGATGGCAAGGAAACTTCACCTCCGATGGCTTCATTTTACTGAGCAATGAATCAAAAAAACCAACCCCCCAGTCATCTGCTCATAGGAAACGTTTCCCAAAAGTGCATTTCAGAAAATAGACTGAGATGGAGCTCGATGTTAAAGGTTAAATGCTACCGCTTGTTAGCAAAACTAACTGCAGTACTGACTTCCACTGCTGGGCATGGGAGGCCACTTTCTTCGGTTGCTATTAGCAGGAGCACTTTAGAGATTCTGTATGTACCTTGAACAGGGGCTATGATTGGTTGTGACGGTCTCTCATGTCATGGCAGGAGTATCTAAACGGTTGTCTTTCTCAGCCAGAGCCAGTCACGGAACTGTTTCTGGTGGGCAATTCTTGCTGTGTGAAAAGCAAGCCATTGTCAAGCCAGTTTCCTCCTATGTGGAGGAGAAGCTTTAACGAGTGCAAAAAGAACTGGCTAAATGCACTGGCTATGGCAGCCATTCTCCTCCCCTCCCGGGGTGCTAACTCTGGGTCTGACATGCAGCAGGCTTAAGCGTCTTGGTTGATCTTTTCATGCTTCAGCTTTTTCTAGTTTCTGCAGTTGCCTGACATGTTAACTGCCCTTTTCCCTGGCGTGATGTGGCAGAAAAGACGTGAGCCTTTTTCAGCTCCCTGCAGGCTGCCTTTGCAGCTTTTGCTGTACAGATGCTTTCAGCCTATAAGCTATTTCTTTGTGGTGCCCGTTCCTTCTTTGCTGTTGTCCTGTAGTAGCACTCAGAAGCCATGCACTTTGACTAACAGCACACTCCAGGTGACTGGCAATGTACATGTGCGTGTGCACACATCCCCTCACACACAAACACGCTGTCCCATTTAGTCGAAAAAGAGATTTGTAATTGATCTTTTTGTGTGTGAAATTCTTAATGATGGCCAAGCTTTTTTCAGGATTAAAGGTTGTGTCCCTAGGTAACTAGAACACACGCAAGTGAGCTGCTGGGAAAGGCAATTCCGCCGAAGACTGCAAGACTGAAGGGGCCTGGATTTCTAGTCTGACAAGCACAGGAGGCTTGGGTGCTGATTCAGTGAGCAGCGTAGCGAGGCTGGTTCTAGCTACCGATGCCACGGACCCTCCAGTTCCTCTTTGCTTGCTGTAGCTGTGCAGACAGCATCTTAGGTGTGCACTTTTTCTTTAGCTCACCTACCTTCCCTCAGAGGAAATTAACCAGTCTTGGCCTAGGCCCGTCCAACCTTCTGGCTGAACGTAGGAAAGCGCTCTTGGTTGGACCAAGGCCTCACTGAGTCTGTCTTTGTCATACCTGCGTGCGTTTTAATTCTAATCTCCTCTCCACTCAGGTTGGCACTGGGTAGCAGGTTGGTGAGATGCTCTGCTGCCTTAGGTAGGGGTTGGCTTTACACTGTTTAGGACTCCAAGGGGCTGGAGAAGGGGGACATGGGTTGCTTGCCTCTCCCTCCAGAGCTGCTGCCAAAGAGACTGGGTTGGCTGGTCCAATCAGTACAGGAGCCCCTCCAGCAGTAACTTGTGCTGTTTTCCATGTGGACAGAGGCACACCCACCATTCCCATTGACCTCAGTGGGAACTGCGGGCATGCCACACTCTTGGAAATTGGCTCGTCTGCAACCTTGCAGCAGCAGCTCAATGGCTTGAGAGGGGACAAGTAATACAGGAAGGAGTCCAAAGCCAGGTCAGTTTAGCTGCTTCCCTCTTGTTACTTCAGCAGTGGCTGGGAACCAAGAGCCTGTATTCTGGGCTCCAGTTGGCGAGAGACAGCTGGTCCCTGAGGGACATTTGCTGTTAGACATGTCACAAAACACCCTTTGGAGTGAAGGGGGAACTAGCTCCTTCAGGAAGACGAGGGGAGGAGCAGGTTAGCTTTCCAGAAACCGTGTCCTCCCATCACCAGGCTGGCAAGCAACCCTAACCTCTGATCCTGAGACATTGGAGAGCTGCAGCCTCTGTGTAGATTGTTGTCTTTGCAGCAGCTCAGTGCTCTGCTCTTTAAATTCTTGACAGGTTTTTGGTGCCTCTGGGTCTTGTTCCCTGGCAGTTGTTGATGACTTTGCAGACCTTGGCTTGTTGGCAACTTTTAGCTCAGAGCCCGCAGCTATAGTCCTGTGGAACGTGTATAGTTCAGCTAACCTTTGATTGGTCAGAACAGGGCTCGGACCAGGGGGAAGGAGAGAGTGGTCTTTTTGCATACCACACCAAATTCCAGCTTTGCATCCTCACTCCCAAGTGATGCTCAGCAGTCCCGCAGCCTGGTGCTGCGTGTGTATTTTGGAGCATCAAGGGAGTCTTAAGCTGGCACTGGGATTGTCTGGACAGCAGATCTGCTGCCTGGCCGGAAGCTTTGTATCTTGCAAGCACTTTTTTTCCTTGTGGCATTGCCGGTATTTGTTGCTAGTTGGGATGCTAAAGAATATTTTGTGAGTTTGTCAAATTCAAACCACTGGTTAAGTTTCCTTTTTTTTTTCCTTGAAGTTTATTGAAGTTTTATAAACCCAGCAGGCTGGTATTCTTTGACTGCATTGTGATGTTGTCATTGTTTCATTGGTATTTTATTCCTGGGGGAGTAAAGGGGAGGTAATTTTTCCTCCCCCAATTGTCTGTTTCTCAGGAGATCCAGAAATGAACAAAGGAAAGGCCCCATGGTGAGATTTTTGCATCCCTCATCAGTGGTGTAGGCCCTGGTCTCAGTTGCAGGAGAGCAGGAGGGTTAAGTTGGGCTGAGCCAGGGGAGCAGAGCTGGATTCCCTGCCCCCTGCCCTCAGCCCATGGGCCAAGTTGGAATGGCCTGGATCCCATACTCCCCGTTACAGCAGATTAACATTTCAAGAGCTTTCTATTTGGAAGCCCACCACAAAGCGTGGGATCTTCAGCCTAGTATCTTTTTTTACTAACTTTTTTTAAAGAAATTGTAAACTAAAGAAATATCTGGGAAGGGCAGATGGGAAGGTCGTGACTAGGCACAGCCCCCCAAATGAGTCAGAGAAGGAGACTGGCTCGGCTCTGCCCGAGGTGGGAATGGGGAAAGGATGGCCTAAAACCTCTAGTTCCTCTATGACTGGCACTTTAGATGGGAGCTTTCATGCTGTCCTGATTCCAAGTTAAGGACAGTCAGTTTTAGTGTCACCTTCTGGAGGGAAAGTTTAGCCCTTTTTAAATGTTTTTTTTGGGTTTTAGAGTGTTCTGAACTGGGCTGAGACCTGAAGAAAGTTGTTGCATTAAAATCTTAATAGGAGGAGTTGATTTTATTTTTTGTTTTGTTTTAAATTCATGGCTGTGCAGCTGGACTCTGCACTCTCAACCTCTGGGAAACCTCACTGCAGGTACGCTTGAGACTCGATTACCCAGGTGAAAGGCTCCCCTCCTGGGGAGAGGGAGCTGAGCGAACCTTCCCTGCCCCTGTCCCTTAGCTGCCTTACCTCAGGAGCTGCTAACTAGTTCATTGCTCCTCTTCTCTTCCCCAATCCCACACTGAGGGAATTGCTGCTCCAGTGATTCAGTCCTGTGGACAGGGCTGGTCTCTCAGGGCTTGTTCCCACAAACACTACCCTGGTAGCTAGTGTTTGTGGCATTTACAAGCCACCGCCTCTACCTAGTGGGCTGATCCTGCAAAGTCCTCACCCCCCACCCCAGCCTTCAAGCTGCATTTTCCATCAGCCCTCCTCTGCAGTCCTATCCCATTCTCCTCCACAGCACTAAGGAGCTGTTACTCCTACCCCCCTGGGAAGGAGTGAGCATAGAAAACCTGGGAAACCAAGAACTTGGGAGAAGGTTTGAGCTGGAGGTGCAGCTGATCCTTTTACTTGCCTTGAGAGCATAAAAAAATGTTTGTTAAAGCCCATATTTTTTCATGTGAGGGAAAGGGGAGATCATGTTTTATTCTCTTAAAAGTGAATTGAGCTCAGAGATCAGAAGAAAAGCGCACTTGATTTATATTCAGATGCTCTAGAGAGAGATTACAGATATTTTTGGAAAGGGAATGGGTCTATGCAAATTTCCAAAATTGCTTGAAAGATAGTTTAACATTTTTTTACTTTTGAAATCTAAAGAAGAGAAAATCTAATTTTTTTTCATAAAGCAGAAGTGCGTGTAGAAAGAAGCTACTTCCACTACTCTATTTTGATGATGATTCTTGGAAAGTTGATGGGCTGGAGGGAATGACTATTTTCACCATTTTTATCTTGTTCCTCTAGTTTTTTGTTTCTTTTCTAATGGAATACTGTGCCGTCTTTGATTCAGCAGATCGTGTCTGTATTTTCTGTATCTGGTTCCTAATGTAGAGAAATAACAAATATAAGTGGAAATCAATATAATGTCAAAATGTTATGGTTTTGGGGAAAATAAAAGGTTTTTTTGGTACTTCATTTATTGATCCTGGACTGGTTTTTTTGTTTTGTTTTGTTTTTGCCTCCCAAATATATCCTGGGGTTCTTTGCATCTCCTTACTGATGGAAGTGAAGCAGTGGATATGCAGTACCACATGCAGTAGGCTCCTGCGTGTCCCCACAATACAAATAATCGACCCATTAAATCCCTCCATGAATTTGGGGATAACAGCTAAGCTACGAAGGGGCTGATTTAGCAGGGCTCTCCCTCCCTTGGCTTTGTTATTGGAGGTGGGTAGGAAGCAAAAGCAAGAGCGTCACAAATAAAACAACCCCCCCAGCAAAGTGGAGTAGATCACCTGAAATGGGCAGAGGATGAGAGGGGGGCAGGGCTTCCATCTCCAGTCTTGAAGAGGCATGCAAGAAAGATGCAAAGTAGATCTACCTTTAACTGCCTGAGCAATACATGCAAAAGTAGTTTGGTCTGCATTGATGTAATTGCCACCATCTTGCCCAACAGAAAAGCAGTGTTAGATCTGGGCATCCCAGAATCTATCTGGTGTGTCTGCTGCAGAGGTTCCCAGACTCCAATCTGTGGAACATCTGCAGAGATCTGGCTGAACACATGGTGCTGGTCCCTCACTAACTGCAGCAGAGGGGCCAGGAATCTATTAAATAGCTTCAGAGGGCTAGTCCTAGTCTACATGCTTCCCAGGTTTTAAAGATACATCTATGGGGCAGAGCTCCCTATTGTAAAGGTACATATGCCAAAAAGAGTTTTTCTGCTGTCATAATACCACCTCCCTGAAAGACAATAGCTGTGCCCACAGAAGCACTTGTCAGTCAACTCTGCTGAATTTGCCAGCATGGCTGTCTGCTGGGACAGGGGAGTGTGGCAAACAGCTATACAGACAAACCTCTGTAGCAGAGATCTGGCCCCAGTTTCCCCTCCATGGAGGTCATGGCTGTAGCCACCACAGGGTGGTTGTGGGAAGTACCAGACAGGGAGAGATGAGAACCCTTGCTGTGGAGAGAGACGGGTATTTCCCAAGGTACCTGATTGGAGCGGCACACTGGTTAAACGCAACAGAATTATTTTGCATCATTCTCCCCCAAAAGCTAAATGCCTGAATCTTTTAAATCCAACCCTATCTACTTCCTCATTTGCCCTGTAGGCTCCCTTCCAGTACCATTAAGAATTTTCCACTAGCTGCTCGAAAGCAAGGCAAGATAGCTCGTTCTTTTTCTATTTCTTCCTCCCACGAATGACAGGAGTGGACTGATTTTTAAACCAAGGTGATTTAAACCACAAGTGGAAAGCCTTGGTTCTATGCAACTTTCCCATGTGTACTGCAGTTATTTTCTAAAGAAAGGTGCATTCTCATTGGATGATACCACCCTTTAAAAGATGTGGATTTACAACTGAATAGAACCTTTACACTAGATATGGTATGCTTTTGCTCCCCAGCGGAGTACATTATAACTGTACACATTTACTTATGAAAATTTGGAGCTACATAATTGTATATTCTTAATTGTACATTTTTAGTATGTTATAAAATGGTGACTTAATGGAGTTATAAATATCCCTAGCTTGAGAGCAGAGCCAAACAGATCTCAGATAGCGAGAAGCTATGAAATAGGAGTGAGACACCATGCAGGAAGGCTCAATGGATAATCCTGATGTGATACATGATGGTGTCACAGGCCAGGTCATCAATACCTGTGATGACTTTGCCAGTCTCTTGCAACCAATACCACAGCTCCTGAAACACTACTTCTCCCCCTCCCCCCACACACATACACCCCACTCCACCATCTCACTCTAGGATCAAGTCCTTAATGCCACACGCGACCTATTCTCTATCAGACTTGACCTTCAGTGTTAATGGTTTTTTTACCCTGGGTTCGTTCTTTACATAGAAAAGCAGCCTTGAACTCAGATTTGTTTATAGAGGCTCATGGATGCAGCCTATTTATTTTTACTTAAATATTTAAAGACGTTATTATAAGCATAGGCCTTAGCACATTTTGTATTCAGAATTCATTTTAAATGTGTTTATTTTTTAAAAGGAGTATTTAAATAATGTTTTAAAATCCAATTTAAATGAAACCTTGATCTTTGTTTTTTTATTCCCCAAAATTTCATCCATTTTTATCCATGCCATGGATTGCGTGCAGAAACACACTCATGTGAGTTAGGGTACATTCTTCTGCTTACATAGATTACTTTGTGTTGGCAGAATGAGCTGATTTTAATGCAGAGATTGTTTCATGATGTCACTTATTCAAAAGGCTCACAAAGAACAGGTGTTCCTGGCCGTTGAAACCAGACCTGAAGCAAATAAAGGCCAGAGTTGGAAGATGTCTTGGCCCTTTAGATTCTGACTGCTGCATTTTGAGACCTGTTTAATAAAAGAAAAGTTCACTTTGGCACTAGATGTGTGATCCAAGGCAAATTCTGCTGTTTGCTTTCTAGGTCAGGCATTTGCTCACATTTCAACAGCAGCACCAATGTTCTTAACCTAGTCCCTAGTGCACTGTGCAAACATGCACTAATGAATCCCCACCCCGGTGATGGATCTTGTAATCTGATTTGTGCTTTAGGTGCCTGTTTAATTGAGCACATGATTATTTGTAGTGCAATAGTGCCCGGAAGCCTCAAGATAAGAATGCCATTGCGCTAGGCCGGGCAGGGCAAAGTGCAGCAGCACATATGCACTTCCAAGTGTCTGCAGGAAGGAGAGTACAGCCCAAACAAATAAGACATGTAAAGCATAAAGGAGGGGAAGGATTCTCTGTCATTCTCTCCTGGCTCTAGTTAATGGCATCCAGCGATCAAAAAACCAGAATCGCAGTACAGGCAATCCCCGGGTTACGTACAAGATAGGGACTGTAGGTTTGTTCTTAAGTTGAATTTGTATGTAAGTCGGAACTGGTACATATTGTAGGGGAAACTCTAGCCAAACATTTCTCCAGAGCTCAGTTTTATTCTCCCACACCTCACTTCCCTCAGTCCTTTATTCTCAAGCTGAGGTGTCTGCTGAGAAAAGCCGCTCCGCGTCTCCCTGGTCTGCTGGTGGGGGGGCGCTAGCTTCGCGTCTCCCTGGTCTGCTGGGGGGAAGCAGCTAGTGCGGGGTTGCCTCACCCCGTTTGTAAGTAGGGATCTGATGTAAGTCGGATCCATGTAACCCGGGGACTGCCTGTAGTTATTTTACCTCTATAGTTGGCACTGCTGCACCTGTGGTGGGGATCCGATGTCCAGTTCTGGCATACACTATTCAAGGATGTTGATAAATCAGAGAGAGTTATGAGAAAAGCCATGAAAATGAGGAAATGATTAGAAAGCCTGCCTTACAGCAGTAGACTCACATAGTTCAACCTATTTAGCTTAGCAAAGAGAAGGCGAAGGGATGACTTGAATACAATCTATAGGTACCAACGTGGGGGAAGAGATATTTAATAATGGGCTCTTCCATCTAGCAGAGGAAGATCTAACATGGTCCAATGGCTGACACTTGAAGCTAGACAGATTTAGACTGGAAATAAGATGTAACATTTAACAGCATAATTTACCACTGGAAAATACATCCAGGGTCATGGTGGATTCCTCATTGCTGATCCATTTTAAATGCAGACCAGGTGCTTGTGTTCAGAAGATCCACTCCAGGAATTATTTGGGGGGGGGGATTATTTTGGGGAAGCCTGTGCTGCACTGGAGGTCAGACTAGAAAGGGTTCTGCCCCCATCCATTGTATAGGGCACCTAGGGGCTGAGTTCAGGCTATCTGGTTTGCTGAAGGGTTCCTGTGATTATTTTTTCTAGGTGCTGTCATTCAGCGCTGCCATGCTGAAGTACCTTGCCTTAGCTCTCTTCCTCTTAAGGGGCTGGCCCCTTACTTGTGTCTGCACTGCCCCAGCCTGCTCTCTGTTGGGAAGGTGCTGGAAGGATTGCTGTATCTACTCTGATTTTTCAAATCTACAAATGTAGCAAATGGGTTTGCAGCAGGTGTATTCAGTCTGAGTGTACACTGCATTGAAGGGCCAGGGAGATTAATTTAGAGGTGGTTTGTAGCTCATTGTGCCAATCAGAGCTGGTGATGGAGCTGAGTCATTTCTGGCTTCCACCTCCATAGCATCCTGTACTCTGTCCCTGTTCTCCTTCTCTTTGCAGTGTTTACAAACGCCCATCTCTTGGGACAGGAGAAACGGTTCCTAGCTTCCCCTGCTTGAGGCACAATCCGGGGGAGGGGGAGAAGCAGAAAGAGCAAGTCCTTTCTACTTCCCATCATTTTAACATTTTAGGAAGCCGATCCCTGGTGCTGCTATGAATAAGCCCTTGTCTACATGGGAGACGCTACTTGGCACAAGTGTAGCAGAATAACCTGCTCTAACTATTCCAAAACAACTCACCTGGGTGGGGACACTGTTCTGGAGCAGAGCCATTTCGAAATGAAGTAATTAATTAATCTGGAATAAAGTAACTTTTATTTTGGAGTATTGTCCATGGGGGCAGTTACACCAGAATAGCTACAGAGAGACAGTTATTCTCCTCTAGCTGCACCAGAAAGTTTCCCCATCTAGACATGCCATAAAGTGCAGCAAGAGCAGGCAAGAAAACATCAAAATGGAGTCCAATTAGAAACTGGAATGTGCAAACTTAACCCTTCTCAAGTCTTCTGAGCCAAATTGCAGTCCAGCCAAATTCCACGGCCTTTGTGACTTTCCAGTTTCAGGAAGCAAGGGCTTTCAGCATTTAACAGTTTTGGGGAGGAAGGTAGCTCCTTTGATTCTTTTCTATGCATAAGAACGTTTCATCTGTTTTCTTGCAACAAGTAGAGAGTTATCCTCAAAGCCCTTTACAAACATTACTTTAAACCCCACTAACCATTGTCAGATGCCTCCACTCCCTTTTTGGTAGGGGCAGATTTCTCACGTTGGCTAAATAACTTAAGCAAGGTTATGGCCCAGCCTTTTTCCTTACTGGATTTGGTCTCTCAGCCAGGAGCTGTTTGAGGTCCTGGATTTGAATGAAGTTAT